GTCAGATGAAGACATCCAATCAGTGGGGTGCGGGTATATCCACTAGGGTGAATTGAAATTCAACTGGCCGCCTGTGTAGGGACGGGGCTCAACCACCCCCATAAAGGTTGATCTGCGATGCTGTGGTGGGGAGAAGGAGAGCTGTCTGAGGAAGAAGAAAGCAGAAGAAGGAAGCAGAAGGAGAGTCGGCGGGAGCAGAAGAAGAGTCGTCGAAGAGAGAAGGAGAGCTGTAAGAGCTGTGAGAGTTCTTGTAAGAGCTGTTAGAGCTGTAGAGCTCTTATCAGAGCTGTACACAGAGTGGAGACAGCGAGCTGCGGGAGGCAGGCTGTTCCATTAGCTTCCGTGCTCAAGCTGCCCTCGAGCGGCGCGCTGGGCCTCAGCCTGAAGCGGAGGCGCCTCCACCGCGCGCCCCGACGGCGCCCACCCGCCAGCTGATGCTGGAGGGAGCACTGTGGCGACCGGATGCTAGCGCTGCTGGCCGCCAGCTTGGCGCTCGTTGTGGCCGCTGGCGCCCAAGATGGCCCGCTGCCCGGCAGCCCCTTCGTGTGCACGGCGCTGCTCCCAGAGGCAGCGCGGGCCAGCTGTCCATTGCCCGCGATGCCCATGCAGGGCGGCGCGCTGAGCCCCGAGGAGGAGCTGTGGGCCGCGGTGCTGCAGAGACCGTCGTGCAGCAGAAGGAGACGCTGGCGCGCTGCGAGGGGCTGGCGGGCAGCAAGGCGCAGGGCCCGCAGCCACAGGCAAGGACACTATGGGCGATTCCCTGTGGGACCCCGGCCACGTTGTGGAGCAGCCCCGAGCCGCCAGTGGTCCCCACGCCAGTGGCCCCGAGCCGCCAGCAGCCCCAAGCCGCCAGTGGTCCCAACACCAGCAGCCCTGATGCCAGCGGTCCCAGCGGTCCCAAGCTGCCAGCGGCCCCGACACCAGTGGTCGCAGCAGCCCCGAGCCTCCAGCGGCCCCGACGCCAGCAATCCCGACGCCAGTGGCCCCGAGCCACTTGTGATCCCGAGCCACCAGCGGCCCCGACACCAGCGGCCCCGACGCCAGCGGCCCCAGGCCACCAGCAGTCCCAGCAGCCCCGAGCCGCCAGCGGCCCCGACGCCAGCGATCCTGATGCCAGTGGCTCCGCCCACACACACCGCGGCCCTCCGCAGCGGCGCTGCGGGGAATGGCCTAGACACCAGCAACCTTGCCCTGAATGGCCTCGCCACCCCGAGCCACGAGTGGCCTTGTCACCCTGAGCCGCAGCCTCACTGGAGCTGCTGCGTCATTCTGGGGAGCGGCTTCGTCTGGGAAGAGGCCTCCTCGGTGAGCGGCCCTGCAGGAGCAGCATCATCAGGGAAGAGGCTTTCTCCAGAGTGGCCTCTTTTTGGGAGCAGCCTTGTCCAGGGAGCAGCCTTGCTGGAGCAGCCCCTGTCCGGGGAGCAGCCCTGTCCAGGGAGTGACCTCATTAGCAGCGGCCTAGTCCTGGGAGTGGCCTCGTCCAGAGCGGCCTCTTCTTGGGAGCGGCCTCGTCCGGAGTGGCCTCATCTGCAGAGAGGCCTTGTCCAGAGCAGCCACGTTGTGAGCGGACTTGCCGGGGTCATCGTCGTCACCTTTTTGTAAGAGACAGCCCTGACCGGTCAGTTTGATTCTTGGTGCTTGGTGCGAAATAAAGCTTTGCTTAACCTTCGCTTTGTATCAGTCTCATTCCTTTGATCACGGACCCTAACAGTCACCTCCCTTTTTATAAACTATCTCACCATATTATCTTCTATATTGCATTTCATAAAAAGTCTTACCTGCTTAACTTATTAAGTCAAACTCAATTGATGCTCTTTGAAATTTCTCGCTTCTTTTATGTATTTTCCCCTAATCTTTAGCATCTTTCATCTTTACTTAAACTTTTGTAATAGAATTTCTCAAACTGTCCATATTATTCTAGCGTTTGCTTTTATTTATTTTTCTTTGTTTTTATTTTCTCTGGTTTAAGTTCTTAAGTAGCAAAAATACTATTCAAGCCTTTTTGTTCCTGGCTGCAGGCTGAGTTGTTAGGATATCATTAGGATATGAGATTCAAAAGCTCCTCTTAGATTTCAAACTATGAGTAGGAGTTTAGGCATGGAGGATTGATAGCCTGTAACTTAACAGGAAAATTTCCTCATTATGGGTTTCCTGTGCCTTTGGGTTAAACCTCCCTGGGCTAAGTATTATAGATGGTGTTTTGGGGCTTCCTTCTTAGTATATTTGTGAGAGTGCTTACACTTGGGCACAATTTTCATAATTAATACGTTCTGCTTTGTTTCTTTCTCAGAGTTGCTGCTCCCTATCTTCTTCATTCAGCAAACTGCTGATCTGATTTCATGAAGGACTGAATATTAGTCCTTCATTTAGTTTATAGCTCTGATCCTTCTCTTTGAAAACCATACTCCAGAACAATATAAGGCCAAATACCACACATGTCCTTAGCTGGTCTTAGATGATTTGATTCATTCCCTCTCAAAGGAGAATTGAGACATGATAACTACAACTCACCAAAATCTGCGAATATTCTGATGCTCCCTTATTCCTGCTACTCCTTGTCCCCAGTAGGAAAGGGCGAAAATTACATCTTTCACAACAAAGTGGTACTTGAAGTAATTTCTTCATTTCTAGGTAGGCCCTCAGAATGAGGGAAGTAAGGTAAACATGTCCTAACAGGTTTAATTAATGGAGTAGCAGATACAGTACATTTAAAGTTAATGCCATACTTAATTTTAATAACAGCTCTAAAATTAATGATATGACCAAAGTAAATCTCTTAACTTCTCTGAGTTTGTTCCTTCATTTCGTATAGTGGTAATAATATGTATCACACAGGGTTTATAAGGATTGAATGAGAAAATAAGAAAATAGTGTTAAAACAATTAGCCTAGTGGCTGGCACATAGCAGGTGCTAAAAAAACCCAGATGGTATTCCTGACATAAATGAAGGAATGGTTTAATTCTACAAGGTGAAAGTGCCAGGCTGTGTTTTGAACAGTGGCAAAAGAGAATTACTAAAGTATTTTACAAATGTTATTTCAGTAAAACTGTGTCAATGACCTTTGATTCCTTCTTTTATGAAATTACCCTGTTGTTATATTTGAAATAATTAATATATGATATAATTCACTTTGTTATTAAATCAGCTTGTAACAACTTAGTCTTAAGTATTTTGAGGGCTCCTGGGTGGCTCAGTTTGTTAAGTGCCTGACTCTGGATTTTGGCTCAGATCATGGTCTCAGGGTCATGAGATTGAGCACCGCGTTTGCTCTTTGCTGGGTGCAGAGCCTACTTGAGATTCTCTCTCTCTCCCTGCCCGCCCCACACACATTCTCTCTCACTCTCTCTCTCAAAAAAGAAGAAAAAAAAAAGTACTATTTCATCTTAAAATCTCTAGTATCTACTTTAGAGAGACACAGTGTCATTTAATTTGGTGCTCCATTCACTTTTTTTTTTTTTTAAGATTTTATTTATTCATTTCAGAGAAATACAGAGACAGAGATGGAGAGAGAGAGCACAAGCAGGGGGAGAGACAGAGGGAGAGGGAGAAGCAGACTCCCCACTGAGCTGGAAGCCAGACATGGGGCCTGATCCCAGGACCTGAAGATCATGACCTAAGCCAGACAGATGCTTAACCATCTAAGCCGCTCAGGCACCCCTCCATTCACTTTTAATAGAAAGTTTACTAAATGTGATTTAAAGTACAGGAATATTTCTCACAGATTAATGAGAGTGAGGGCAAAGGAAGACAGTACACCATGTATTCTTAGCATCTTATTATTTGCAGCTAGTGAATTGCAGTAAACTGGACTCCGGATTTGTTTTTGTGTGTGTCTCAACCTATCTATAGAGATGCTATCAGCTAAGAATGCCTGAGGCATTCATGAGGGCTGATATTACTCGTGGCAGCCTCCATGTATGTTTCCCCCACAGGAGCCAATGTTGTGACCTCTATGGTTCTCCTGCTTGCAAGATGCACCTAGCATCACCATCAGGGATCCTTGGAAAACGAGGTTTATTACTCAAGTCCTGGGGGGGATGGGTGTAAAGGGCATACCCACGGGCCAGCAGCCAAGTTGCTAGCAGAGTAAGAGAAAGAGAAACTATGTAGACCTGGGGTTCTGCTTTAATTGGGGTCAGGAGTGGGGCAGCTAAGGTTTCCCAGATTCACTCTTTATTGTTGAATTTAGAATGAAAGAGTGGGAATTAGGGAGCAGGAAAGGTAGTGGTCAGTTATTTAGTTACACAGGGATTTGTAGAAAGGGAACTCATGGTGGAGGGTGGGGTGGGGGGAAGGCCTGTCTTCTTATCTCTCTGTGTAGCTAGTAACTGTGTCATATAGCCGGCAATATATTTATTGAAGGTGGATGTCTGACATGATTGCCTTGGCAATCAAAAGCTTAATATCAGGCATTGCCATTACAATCAAAAAAGCTTATTCCTAGACACTTATACTACAAGATTGCTTTATTTAGGGAAAAAAAAAAAGTAAAGATGACAGTAAATAAAACTGTATAAGTAGCCTATGACCATATCATTACTGTTGACTATAACACTTTTTACTATGTCTCAAATTTATGTGTGTCATTAAATCCTTTTAGCACATCATCAGTATATAATGGCTTTACTAAGCATTAGAAATATCACTTGTCACCCTTTTTTCACATTTTAACTATTGTCATATTTATTCCTAAACCTGTATTTTATTGTTAAATATTCAGTTAGGCCAAAGTTGATTTTGCTGTTAAATTCACAAAAGATAATATTAAATATATTAAATGAATGTAGTTTTTCTCTGATTCTCACTAAATAGATCATTTTCTTCTCCTTTGCTAAGAACACAAGCATGCATAGACAAAATTAATGATTGAAAATATCAGGTAATAATATATGTTGTATGTAATTTAAACAAAGCATTATTATTTTTGTCAGACTGTTAATAGGCTTTTGTGAAAATATTTAAATTGTAACTTTTCTTATTTACATGGATGTGTTTACAGTTGTTTGCCAGGATTTACTGGAAAAAACTGTGAGAAAGTAATTGACCACAGTAGACTGCTCAGCATCAACTGTCTGAATGAAGGATGGTGTTTCTATATAAGTGGAAGATTCAGAGTAAGTAATTTAATACATGGCAGAGTAATTTAACACTTTAAAATACAATAGCTTCAGGCAGTCTGTATTTCAAATGCTTTTATTAATCTAAACCAGAGAATTATATCTTTATATGTATATTTAAACATGACTTATATAAAGTTTAGTAATAGAGATTTTTAACTTATAAGAATTATGTTGAGAGCACATTAACAAGAGTTCTAGGTAGTGTGTTTATTATAAAATAAATACATTGCTAATTGAGTCCTGGCAATATATCTCTATGTACATAAAATCACAGTTACTAATGCCCTAAGCTCTTAAACCAGATAGAGAATAAAATTAATATGGTAGTTAGGATATACATTATGCTTTTTGTTGATGGATAGCTTTTGAAATGACTTTACAAGTACCCAGTGGGTGCGCAACACACAGTAAGGCATATCCTACAACTCATCATTTCCACTTTCAGGTATGCCTATTGGAAGAATTATAAGGTATATATAAGAATTTATGCATATACAAGAATTTTCACAACAAATCTGAAACAAACTAAAGCCTATAGATAAGAGAGTGGATAAATTCACCAAGTCATACCAAGCGATTATAATGAGTGGTTAAAATGAGTGAACAATAGCTATATTTATTAATACTTTATCAAAACATAATGTTGAATTTTAAAATCTTATTGAAAACTAACATAGGTAGATAGTCTGATAATGATTAATTTTTTAAGCACAAGAAAGTCCTTATTTTCTATGATTGACATATAGCTAAATATAAATGAATATATCAGAAATATACACACTGGCTTTACTAGAAGGGCTCTCTATAAAGAGACAACTGGGGAAAAGATCAGTGAGAGTACAGAAGGAAATTCTAATCAATTTATGATGCTGTATTTCTTAAAACTGTTTTGGCAAATAATGACAGTAGAATTATGGAATTCATTTTATTGTTTTCTCTAATACAAAATATTTTAGTAAAATATTTTTAAAGTAATGAAAAGTCAACTTATGGAATGAATCATGGACAAATTTCTGTGTATATTTCTGGAAATGTATGCTAAACTATAATAATGTTACTATGCAAGAACAAATAGGATAAGAACACAACGTTTCTTTCACAGCTGTAAAACGTTGTTATTATAACATGTCATATATGGTCACTACTTCATTTGCTCTTCACATAAATACCATTCCATTTTATAGAAAATTAAAATGTCTATTGAGTCTTTAATATTTTCATAAATTCATACATATTGATAAGGATAGATAAAGCTAGATTTAAATGTACTCCAAGCAACTCTAGAACTCAATACTTCTAAGTACCATACATATCGACTTTCAGTATAAAGAATGTACTAGCATCTCTTTTTCCTTTAAGATATATTTACCCTTTCCTTAAGAGGAGATGGTCTAATTAAAATGTCTTTCCTGCTTTGGTTTAAATTTCTTCTATAATAGACTATTCAGTTTTGAGTTTTGGTTTCTGTTTTGTCTTGGGATAGTCTCTGAGAATTTATCTCTGACTTTTGTTTTTAAATTTGTCTTCCTCCACCATGATTTCTCCCTGGAAAATCTCACCTGTTCTAGTGTCTCAACAATTATCTGTTACTGACTCTAAATTCAGTTTTAATTTCTTTTTAAGGAACTTGAATGGAGTTATCATTAAATTGCCAAATCTGCTTTTTCTGTAATTCTACTTTAAGTTTAATGACTTCTACTAGATAAAATATTAGCAAGAAGGAAATGCTATTGGCTTTCTCACTGGGTTAAAATTTAGGTGATGATGAGATAATGTGCATTACTAATGTTTTTAACACTGTAATATTTTTTCAAAATATGCTTTTCCCTACTGATTAGTAATCCTAGTTATGGCTGTACTGAAGTTCTGAAATAGCTTATATTTCAGTTGATTTAATTTAAATTTTAATGTATATATACAAATATATTGTTCAGATTGTGTAACGGTTATGGATAGTGGGAATTAACATTACTTTTTATGATACTTAAGTTCAATGTGATATGTTAAAGAAAATAAAATATATATTATATTCAAATTAATCTTAGCATATAAATATAAAATGCATTTTTGGAACTTTTAACTGATATTTGTTTTTCTGTTCTGATGTTTGCATTATTAACTTTTGAATATATCAACCAATTTCAAAGAGACTATATGATGAACTATAATATTTTAGGAAGAGATTTGAACTATCTCTTCTCTTATGTGGAGAAAACAAATATATTTATATTCAGAGGGAAGATGAACAGAGCAGGCATAAGATAAGCAAAATGATACACTTAAATTCAACTATATCCAGAGTCACAATAAATGTAAATTGATTAACACTTTGGTTAATACACAGAGATTATTAATGGTACATGAAACAAAACTCAAATGTTTAAAAGATACTCATTTTATTTAAAAAGGTAGAGACATAATGAAAGTAAAATAATGAGAGAGATATAAAAAATAGACAAAATAATTACTGGTGTAGTTTTATTAATAAGGCAGATTTCAATATCAGGAACTATCAGAGATGAAGGACTTTATTTCAGAAAAAATAAGTGGGTCAACTAATCATACTGAATTATGCATGTAATAAAAGAGATTCAAAATATATGAACCAGAAACTGACATAATCCAAAAGCAGAATAAGTAAAAGTACAATTATAGTGGAGATATGAATACTTCCCTTTCAGTAATTGGTAGAATAAGTTGACAGAGAATCAATAAGGATATACAAAATGTGAATGGTACTGTCAATCCACTTACCTGAATGACTACAAAATGGCACACAAAACAGTTGCAGATTATTTATTTTTCTCAACAACACATGTACCTTATTCAGAGGCGTTTTTCTTTATGGGGGAGCAGAGTGCCATAGCTGGGCCATTTCCCGTGTGCCTCCATGGAGACGTCTTTATAGAAGGGGTCTTGACTGAGCCACATTTCTCCACATTGACTTAAAACTTTTCCTCTTCTAGCCCTCTTTCTCTACCTCCCCACCAAATCCATATAAAGAGTCAAGAGCTTTTTTTTAAGGCTCTTTAGCAATGAGAGGATTCCCCCATCTGTGTTTTGTTCATTGGCTCTTGCCTCATGTTGTTCCTTAGGGGGAAAAATGCCTGGTGCCTCTTTGTTCCTGTTGGTGGCACTGTGGCAGTAAGTGAATAAAGGCTTGAATATTACTATTTTCACTTAAGCACTATGTCCTAATTGAGCACCTTGACCCTTGACTGCTTGCCACAAAATTAAAAACACCCTGTCATAGTGGGGCATATTTGTTATCTCATGCAATATTTTATGTATATCAGTCATTTTTAAAGAAAAAAGAAAAAAGTTTCAACAGTAGATTTTTATAAATAATCTTTAGATAAAAAATACAAATGGAAAATAAGCACAATTTTAACATGTTCAAATCAGTGAAATATCATTTAAGGTAATATGGACATACCATTTTATATTTCTGCACTAAAACACGAAACTATACATATTTAATGCAACAGTATTTTCACATGTATTCAGGGTAAATAGGACCACCAGTTGGCATTTTAGAGTATATACCTAAAGTTTTTTCATCTGTAATAATTCAATATCTAGAAATACCTGAAGTAAGAAAGCAAAATTATATTAAACATGTGTAGGAAATATTCACTATATTATTGTTTATTTTAGAGTAGAAGCAATCAAATTAAGCAAGAATAGCTTAAATATTATGTGTCCCTGTTATAGAATTTGCATACAATTTAGACTATGTTTTTCAGGTGTATTGTGATATTTAGAAAACACTCAAGATCAAAATATCTGATGAAAAATGGCTATATTATTCTAACTGTAATTTGAGTTTAGATGTATATATATAAGGTATTTATCTCCTTGTAACAAACTAAAATACGTATTTCCTGTGTTATGGGAATGGTCAACAGGCATGGCAGCACTACTCCCACAGAGATTATCCATTGGGTTCCACCTCCCAGAGTGTGCAGACATCATGAAAGTTTATATATCAAAGGTCCAGGTTTTTCCAGACAGTAAGAAGTACAGGGGATAGGGGGAACCAGTTAGATGCACAAAGTTAATGTAGTTTCTGATTTGCTCATCCCCATAATCACTCAGGGCTTTGCCATTTTTTAATAAATGTAAATGTTCCCTATGTATTTGAATTGGCCTAATGGAAAGAGTGAAGTATCTGAGGCCGGTGATCTATGTAGTCTAGGGACAAGTTAATACACACAGGTCCAGGGAAGCAAGGAGCCACAGAGAATCATGGGGAAGAATGGTTTAGGGAATCACAGAGAGGCTTTGAGGTGAAATCCAGATGTAACTTAACACCAAGGTTAACCAGAGTTGTGTTGGCCAGTGGAGCCTGGATGATATTTGTATTGTACAGGTAGGCATAGTATCGGCTAAAAGGAATAAACCAACAAACCAACAAAATAGAGACAGTGGCTTACTCCTGTTAAGGGAATTAGACTAAAATTATTATCAGAAAAAAAATGATTTATTTCTTGTGAATATACATTTAATTGAAGTATTATAAAGGATAAAACATATTCCATAATTACTTTAAGATTAGGAAGTTTAAATTAAATGCAACATGATGGACAATATTAGGGGTAAAAAAGTGTAGGTCAGAACCTTATTAATTCTAAGCCATGCTCTTCATCATGAGTTAAATTCGCCTTTTTTCAATTCATTTTCGCTATAATTAAAGTGGCAGAAAGATGCTGAACTTTCTCATTGAAATTGTGATGAGGAATTTCTAATCAAGCACTTTCACAATGTCAATATTAATCTCAATATTAATAATATAAATAGCCCCCATGATAAAACAATTATTACTTCCCAAATGAGAGTCAGATTTCTAATAATCACCAAAAATAAATCATTGAAAAAAATTAAGAGCTCAAATTCATAGTGAAAAAAGGGGAAGAACTGTTCTTATTGTCATTTTTATGTTTATAAAAATGAATAAATTATAGTTATTAAATTAAAAAATATGATTGATATGC